ATGACTATAAATGTGAAGGGTGTTATGGACCACTGCTGATGTGGAAATGAGTGGGTGAGCTTGAGAATGGCTTATCAAATTAAATCTCAACAAGATGGGACAAATTGAAAGAGTTCTTGCTTTATTTTGTTGGTTCAACTATTCTCTGTCTCTTTATTCAATTTTACACAAGGAAGTGATGGCCTGACAACAACAACATCATTTTGTGCTTAGCAACCTCATATTGTTGTTGCTCTGTTTACCTAAAAATGATGTTTTCCTGGTAAACTACGAAAATTGATGAGCAACTGAAAACTATAATTATTATTTATTAGTTTTTAAATAGCACAAAGAATAATTTTTCTTCTCTTTAATTTTTAAATATACGATATTCATCAATCTTAATCCTCTTGGATCGAGATCAAATAAATAATGAAAAAACCTTATAACGTGGACCAACCAATTTATTAGCAAATATAATCATCTACTTAATCCTTCATCAATAACGCTCATTATTTACGTTTAAGTAAATTGAACCATTATCGACTTAAGTTTTCCTTTTTCATTTTCATTTTGGACCAAAATATGAAATCTATTACTTCCTCCGTCCTAATTATATAGGCATGTTTCGTTTTTCACACGGATTAAGAAAGCTTCTTTAATATTATTGAAAAATTAATTTTTGTCAAGATCTTTCCTAGTTTACCTATATTTAATTTTCAGTATCTAAAACTAAATTATTGTTGGAACTAATAAAGAATTTGAAGAAGAAGAAGAAATGAGAGTTGTTCCATATTTCCAAGAAGTGAGAAATATGTGTATTTTGATGATTTCAAGAAATTAGCATATTAAGTGGGGAAAATTTAATAAGGGTATATTGGTAAAGGAACACAACAAAATATTCTACATTAGAAAACATGCCTATATATTTGGGACAAGAAAAAAATGAAACTCAACCTATATAATTGGAACGAAGGGAATATTTTTTTTAGCTGCTAAAATATTGGTTAGACCAAAATAATGAAAGGAAGGGATTACCTTGCAATTTGAAATAATTTGCAAGTTAAACTCTCGATAGCCATTGAAAGAAGTTGCTAATTTCTTTGTCAAACCGGTTCGCTTCTAGGTCTTTGATGATGGAGACATAATCGTTCCTACGACTGGTGCAGGAGAAGAAGCGGCTGGAGTTTCGAAACAACATTCTATGAGAAGACATAGACATTAATGCTGGTCCATCTATGTAGTCCATCATCCAGTTCCTCCCAATGGAAACCTCTCTGGCCAAAACCTCGCTGTCGGGAACTCTGATCGTGTTTTGCTTGTCGATAGAACAATCAGGAGCTTCCAACCGGGAAGTGGTTGACTCCACGGAAACGTTGTAACCGTTGTTGACAATGTATTCGAAAGAACCTATAGAATAAGAGTGCCGCCTTCCTTCCCCGAATTTTGTAGCACTCTGCGGCCACTGATGCTCCTGATCTCAACTCGAAAACTCCTGCCATTTTTATTATCATTACCGTTTCCATTTCTTAAACTTCTGTTGATATTATTGTTATTAATGGCTTGATTTTTAACGGAGTAGATTTTATCCGGTACATCGGAGCCTGAGGGAATCACCGTGGAGTGGCAGAAAGGACAAGTCATGTGCCTATACATCCCTCGTGGAAAGTGTGACAGCAAAGCGCCAGTAAACAGAGACTATCATTCGACTCGAACTTCAATAAACAAATCGCATAATCACAGCGACGAGGTTCCTGTTCACGGACTGAAAGATGAAGAGTGGAAGAAGATCGTGCTAATTGTTTAAGTTTGCATTATTTGAAGCAGTACTGAAGTTTTGTCGTAGGTTTACATCATCGGCGATAGTGGAGAAGGTGCGACGGGATGACCAATGTAGGTGTTTAGATAGTGATGAAGTGTATAAGGAGTTAGAATTTATGATGAAGTTGGATCGCAAGGCAAAATAATGATTTTATGACAACTTCGGGTTTGTCCGTTTTTGGCGAATTGATAATCTAATTTGATTGGAAACGGGCCAAGGATCACAACTCATCGCCTTCGGCCATGACGTACGTCGGATTTCGGGCAGATTCTGTCGTTTAGGCTCTCTATTAAGCGTTTTTGCCGTTTA